TTACCTTTGTTACTTATGTAGATGTATGTACATACCTGTTGCTTCTTTATAAGCAAATGCTTCAGAGTACTCTGACATCACAACAATGCTCTCTTATACGAGGCCGCTAGGCATTCAACACGAAGTTGCTGATCAGTTCAAACAGCTGCTTCTGTTGTTTCCAACTTGGTTTGACAGCAAAACTGCTGACTGTTTAGCGGAATTTCAGCTTGAAAAAGCTAAATGTTTTCTGAAGCTCGCGAGAGTTAAAGCGAACAGCGAACGAAATCAATGAGTTAGGATTATGTTCGAGCCAGGTAATCATAGTTTTTTGTAAATATGTACTATCAGTTTATATAACACCGTTTACTCTAACCAACTGATTCGTCATCCATGTACAGTCAAACCGCACAGCTGGGAAGTTGCAATATCTAATATTTATATTATGTGAAATTCCACCCGCATTTTTATCGACCTGAGGCCCATTTTCATAGATTTTTATAAAAACTAATTCGAGAAGTGTTTCACTCTTTTCGTAAAACCCACCCTGCTGGGTGGGGACTGTACGAGCGAATGATTTTGTCGTCTTTAGTTTAAAAAGCCTGTTTTCTGTCATAAATGAACTTTTTACTCATGTGCGGGAATCTAAAATTATAGGCAAGAAACCTAGCCCAAGCAAGGCCAGGAAATACCCACAAGTAATATAAATTATATACGATTGACTTTAGGGTAATTCATTTTTAAGCTAGAGAGTCATTTGACCCTCCCCCCGCCACGAAAAGTATCCCAAAATGATTAGTTTATGGCAACCAGAATATCAGCAGCAACAACAACAACAACAACAACAACAATGCAGCAATAAACAACAATGAACTGTACGGTTCATTAGCAGCCTCAGACAACCTATTTTGGAGTGCGCAACAGCAGTAAGGGAGAGGCATCGAGAGAGAGCAAGATAGAGAGAGATAGCGAGAGAGAGAGAGAGAGGCAGAGAATGAAATAGACCGAAACGAACCCTTTTTATGCAACAGTAACAAAGAGAATGGAAAAGAATTGATTAATTAGGTTCATATGTTTGTTTAGATGAGGTGAAAAGAAAAGCCAAGGGAAAGGTGCGAAACGCATTCGAAATATTTTGACTCACGCCCTTGAATCATGGTGCACTCAGGGATCAACTTAGAGAATCTATTTCATATAGTATATATGTACCTGCAAAACGTACACACACACATGGCATTCTTGATTATTTTGGGTCTTATGAGAATACAGAGCGCAAGGATCCAAACTTAGAAATGAGACTTTTTCCAATCTGCAGGAGTGAAGGCAGGTAACCGACTAGTTAAATACTTTGATGTCAAGTTTTGCCCGTGGCAATTTAAATCTACCCGCATTAGACACAGGATAAACTTAAAATGCAGCCGATCGGATTAAAAACAAAAAATTTGTATACTAACATTTTCCGTTGCTCCGAATGGAATTTCCCGAATCGCTGAGGCCTATATTCATTAAGTTCTTAAGTTGAGCTTTGAAAATAGGTTTGAAGCAGATCGGACCAGACCTAGAATGTCGTTCAAAAATATTATTGGAAATAAATTAGATGGAGTTTCCGAAAAGAAGAAGAAAAGAAAGAGTTTCCGAGATTTTTGAAAATGAGTGCAATTTATCAAAACTCTGCTTTTTCAGGTAAATTCAGTTAGGTTTTCTGCCTAGCCATCACCTGTTGCTCTGATCAGCCATCAGTCAGTCAGATAGTTATATATATATATATATAGACTCACAAAATATTTGTATATATTGAAATAACAAGTCTTTAGCATATTATACATTTCTATCTATTTTAATCTCAGAGTTCGACGCAATATATTGCATGGATACCTTTATATCGTTTTACCCCATTTTCGAATTATATTAAAATTATACCTTTCTTATTCCTATACCTTACGGGTACGTATTTGTCCGGCAGAAGTAACGCCCCGGGCTACTTTTAAACACTAAGCACAGAACTAAATCTATTTCGCTCTGAGTATTGCTCAGGTAATTGTGGAAATACCTGCAAAATGCTTTACGGCATATTGATTTCTATTGTCGTTATTGCTGCCGTTGGCTGACGATCGTTTTTTCATTTTGCACTCTCATTCAAATGTCAAACGAGTCACGCGCGTCTGTGCCCCACACAAACGGAGACAATATGAACTCTACATAGTTCCCGAGCTATTTATACCCTGAACCCATTGAAACGGCCGTAAGGAGTATTATGTTTTCATACATATTTATGAAACTGACAGAAGGAAGCATCTATATACTATGTATTCCCGATAAGGCCAATAATCTAGGTCGATCTCGGTCTGTATTCGTAGCAGTACTCGTCTACGAATCTTCCCGAGTCTGTTCTTGTATCTGTATCTGTAAATGGCATCTCGCAATATCTGTATTTCTGTCGTTCGTTCAGTGATCAAAAAATGAAAAGCCAGACTGAAGGCATCGTCATGCTTTCGACAAAGTGTTTTGTAATTATTAAAAATTCGAGCCCTTTTGACAGCAGCTCGTGGCAGATTTTCCTATGGCTCGAATTCGGAAAACGGGCGAGGCTGAAATGCAGCACATGCCAGCCAGATACAAACTTGTTGTCACAGTTATTGTTGTTATTGTTATTGTAGTTTTTGTTGTTGTTGCCGTCGCCGTCGCTATATATTAAATTGATTGCAGCTGCAGACAGCACACAACGGCCCGCCGAACACCGACCCCAATCACACTTTCACTTTTCTATGCTAATTTATAAATAAAAAAACGAGCTCGAAAAAAGCAAACACACAATTTTTATAAGGCGCATTTTCTGTTTTCGGATTGGTCCTTTTACAGTTTTAGGTGCATTGACTTTACAGGTATATGGAAAACAATTTAATTTTTATGGCCGCCACTTTAAAAACGCCTTTCATTGATGGCATTTTGATTTTGTTGTTGTTGTTGCTGTTATTCGTTGTCTTGAGCTTTTGGCCACGTTAGGGTCGCTTGATTAATTTATTTTTAATTTTAATGCCGCTTTGGAGTATTTAATCAAAATATTTGTCTAGTCTTCGAAACAGCTCAAAGCGTTGGTAATTTTGGACTTCAGTAGACGAGCCGCTTATTTTACTGCCACAGGTATTTACAGGTTTCGAGAATCAAAAATGTGAGTGCACAACAGCGACTTGTCTTCATTCAACGGCAGCCAGAAAACAAGCCTTACGGATTGAATTTAAATTAAATGTGCCTGTTTTTTTATTATTATTTTTTAAAATAGCTGCAAGCTCTTTCAGATGTAGAAAACTGGTAAGTATTGTGTAACCAAAACCGAAACTGTTAGCGTATTTGAAAATATTACTCGATAGATTTGTAGAAAACGGCCGATGACCATTTTGTACGTAAACTCGAAGAGCTTCAAACTCATATCCAGTCCATCTTGCAGCTCGCACGTCTATTCATCTGTTGGTATAAACGTACTTTCTGCACGAATTTTTGTGCCCTAATTGGAGCTAGGTTAAATAAACTAAATCCCTAAACCCAATTGCTTTGGAGAAACAGTCTTTGAGTAAGCAATAATCAATTTCAAGAAGACCCCTTTCGATTCAAGTTGATGTCACATAAGAAGAGAGCATTCCACAGTCTGCCTTCCATTTCATATATATAAATATATATATATGCTCGCATTACTAGCAACTGTATAAAAGCCTCTAACTCCAGGCTTTTTATAGTAATAGGCAGTCAATAGAGGTCTTCAGGTCTTAGGTAAGCGCTTGGGGTGCAGCACTTGGTGAGTTTCCGTTTAAGACGGTAGTCAATTAAAAAATCAGTTCCAAAACTTGATCATCAAAAACTCATTGGCAGCAACACTTCCTCGACGAGGAAGCATTGTCAGAAAATAAAAAATATAAAACCAGACGTTGGGCGTTAGCTCAGGCAGCTCAGGTAACTCAGGCAGCTCAGCCAGGCCAGTCAGCCATGGCCCGAGCAGCCAAAACGAGCTATGTATGCAGCAAACTAGCCAAGCGGCCGATCTGTGACCATTTGCCTGTCCGACGGCAGCCACCTGCGAACAATTTCCCATAGGAAAAAAATAAGCTAAAAACTCGTGAAAAACGCCGCAAATCGACGTCTGACAGTCTATGGCTGGTACCAATTTGCCGTCGATTCGCGACTTGCGCCAGCTCTTGGGCGAAGAGAAGCGCATAGCGGGGCGCGGGCGAGATACGTGCCACAAGAGGAAATCGGGGAGGCGTACATAGACCTTTTGTGAAAGTGAAAATATTTGCAAAGTGTGTGCGCAACTGCAGCGGCAACGGCAATGAGTGCTACTTTGTTTCCCCTGGAATTTGAACAGCCTGATCGCACATTGGATACCCTAGTAAAATGATGAATCAAAACTCAATGATAGACTAGACAACTATATTATTTAGCTGCCCAATTTCATATATTCGCAAATATGGCTTAAGTTCGAAGAGTATTCAAAGTCGGCTTGAAACTAACGCACGTCAAGTGCGGCACTTTGATAATGGACTCCACGCGCGTGAATAATAACAAGCAGCGTTTCATTAACATGAAAAACGAAAATTGAAAAAAAAAAAGTAAATGTTAAATTGAAATTGGAAAATGTTGCAAAAATTGTTAGCCGAAAAAGCTGAAGTAAAGAAAACGGCGCCTGACATCTGACGTGCGCTGGCAGCCACTTTGGTAACTTAACCAGCTTTTGGCTACTTAAAATTGCGTATACGTATTGCGGTCTCAGGTTGGGTTGGCTGAGTCAGAGGCTGGACTTGAAGCTGGCGCTGAGCTTGGGGCTTATGTCTCTGCCAATTGACATTACCGGTTGCTCGATTTCTGGGAAAGTGCAGCGAATCAGCGAATCGCCGGACACACTTATTTTTCGGACAAGGCGACAACAGCATAATTTACCGTTAGCTCTTCATCATTCACTGGAAAAGCTGGAAAAGCTCACATTTTGAACCAACTCAACAAACAGCAGACACGCAGCACGCAAAGCCAAATCCGAGTGCTGATTTCCTAGTCAACCGCTTTTTTTTATTTACTTATATTTTGGGTATTTGGCGTGTCTTATGATTTATTTGACATGACACTCAACTGAACAGAAATTTATTTTTCATTGCTGCATTTTTAATGATTTTCTGTTCAGTGCGAGGCATTTCAAATTGAGCCAGACGAAGATTGAGACACAGACAGAGACACGCAATGGCCGCCCAGTCGAGTACATGTCCAGTCTCCTCCACCGGGCACCCCGTCCACAGCGACCATTCCCATACACAGTATAGACATTCGCACCCAGTGTCCACGGCTCGGTGCTCAGTTCTCTGTGGCTGTGTGTGGGTTGCAGTAGTGCAGCTCCAATTTGTGCACCTGCTGGCAAATGCAAAAATTAATTATAAATCGTTCGAGCAATTTTAAATCAAAGTGCAACTGGCCAACATGCAACGCAAAACCAGTGCAAGTATTCTAGTTGTAGCTGGTTGATACCCTAGTTAATACCCTGTACACAGTCTCACTTTATATAACTTCAGAGCATGGCGTTTGTCCAAATCGAGAGGACGGGACTTATCCGATTATATTTTTTCGGCTTCCTATACCTCCTACGATTTAGTAAGAAGAAATATTTCAGACACTCGATCTTTAAAATAAATAGAAAGCCGTTTTCAGTTTTAAGATTAGAGATACATAAAACTCAGTATGTAGCTCCGATTTTGAATAAATCGGAGACAAGACAGACAACTTTGTATGCAATAAGTAAGCTCTAAAATGTTATTTAAGATCGGACAACAAACACCAAAGGTATTGAAGAGGGCACAAGGGAGAGTTCACATGTTTGTTACGGCAGCTAGTTACTGGGATCGATTGTATACTAGTTGATTAGAGCACTCCTTCTTGGTTTTTGGATCTTACAATTTGCCAATGCGATCACTATTTGATAAATAATATGTATAAGATACCACTCAGTTTGCGTTATACGCTCTAAAATCATCCTAGCCGATTTATGGAAGGGAACTAAATATTAATTTCACTTTTGGCTGCACTTGACCCACTCTCTTTTTGAATAAAGGCGAAGTGCGAGTGCGTCGTCAGAGCAACAGCTGCGCCTATCAGAGCTGCAAATAAATCAAAAAAAAAAAAAAAGAAAAAAGAACACAGCGGGATGTTGGTCAACAGGCTGACTAACTCACCGACTCAGAGTCAGACTCCGACTGCTCAGACTCAGACTGAGATGCCTCAGACTTTAGTTTAGAAACGCAGACTGGCTCGCTGGTTACTGCTGCTTAGTCACGGATAACAAAATTAAGAGCCTTCATAAAATCGCACAGAGAGCCGAAATCACAAAAAGAACCACACCAACAAAAAAAAAAGCAGGCGATAAATACGCGGCTGTAAAACAAATTCAATTAAGTAACGAACGATATGGAAATGCAAAGTAAAAGTCTAAGCGTCTAAGAGTGTGGGCCTTTAAAATGCATTTCGTTTGCGTATTTAATTGGATTTTTATTGCCATTCGAATTGGGAAAGTAAAAGAAACCCCCATGCACGCCCATGCCAGCCAGATGTTATTACCAATCCGTAGCCGGTTAACCTTCTGACTTTACGTAAGCAAAGTGCACAATGTGGCAACCACATTTAAATACAATTAGCAGTTATGATTTTCACTTTTCTTATGGCTGCAATTTACCATTGTTGCCGCCACACTCGAGCCCATGTGGCAATGTGCAACAGCAACAACAATAGTCGAACTCATGGGTGCAATGGCCAACGGACACGTGTGTCTAACTTCGCCTGGGATGATTGCCTGGGATGTTGGACGGCTGGACATGGTAATTTCATAAGACTGGCGATCAGCTCAGCCCGAATCATTTTCGATTGCAAAACGGCAACGGCAACGGCGGCAACAACAATGTAGCATGTTGCACATATTGGTAAAAAGGGCAAATAGCCAAAATGAATGCGCAATGATTGGCATGCGAGTTGCAACAACAACGCCAGAGGTGACCAATTGCCCAAAAAATATAAAATGAGTGCACTTAAGATATTCATATGGCAGACAAATATATAATTATGTTCTAACATCAAAATTGCATGCTATACGAAAAGCAAGAAGAAATATTGCAGATGCTGCAATGTATTCTATTTACTTTTATTTTAAACCGTTTCAAATGGCATTAAATGCTAATAAATCACAATTGAGTACAAGTAAGAACGTGGCAGTGGCAGTCTCTCCAGGCAAGTACTCATAGAAAAGTCGAATGCTGATCAAGTTTTGCTCAGCTTCAAATATACTCTAGTTTTGAGGGGCTGCCATCATTAGCAGTTTTCTAGTCGTCGGTGAATTTTCAATAAAAAATAAAAAGATGAAATTACACACGAAGTGTAAAAGAGAATAATTTTAATATAAATACACTTTTCTGTTTATATAAAGTGCAGTCAGTTTATTTAGACGGAAGTCGATAGCACTCGCTTTGCAGGCGAGTAACTTTCTCTATTATTGACTTGTGTCGAAATACCAAAATAAATAAATGACACCTCAACCGCATCAGAAATGTTGTTTTACACACTTTCAAGTGATAGAAAATTGTTTTATTCACGGCCTGCCACGGCGACGTCAGCGTCGTCGACGTCGTCAACTTGACCCAAACACCTCACTTAAAAATGTTTACAAATTACGACTTAATCGCGTGCTGCTTGAACCCTACAACAACCACAATCACAACTACAAGTATAACACCAGCCACAACCAGCACAACAAGCACAATAACAGCGAGAAGAAGAAGAGGGAGAAGAGGAAGAAGTTGCGACGTCAGCTTCAAGTTCAAAGTAAGACAGAAAACAAACTTGGGAACTGTGTACGACAGTCTGGAGGCATTGAAATTCTTTCAGTCTACTGTCATTCAGTCATTTTATACTCTGTGCAACAACTTAACTAGGGTATACTGCCCGTCTGATTTTTCAGACTTGAAATATATATATATATACTCAAATTTCATCCATTTCTTCCACACTCTCTCAAAAAGTCTAGTGATGACCGATTTCTGAATTTTTCCAGTCGGAAAGTTCTGCTAACTGAAGCTGTTTTTCAACATTGAACAGAGTATTGCGCAATCGGTTGCACTTGTTTTCAAGCGTCTTACTTGTTGCTTTTGACTTCTGTATTGGACCTGAACAATGGCAAATGTTTTTCTAGACTTAATTAACACGAACTTGTAAAAAGTAAAACAGCATATCTTGGACGCGGAGCTGTGTTCGTGTGACGTGCCATTAGGCGCCTGACGCCAGCTCTGACCTTGTCCAATGGACCACCAAGGACTGGATGGCTCGGAGACCCGGGCACCTGTAACCCCACACACGATTCAATGTTTAATTATTCTAATTGCTTCTCAGCTTACAGCTAAGCCCGGTCTTCCTTCTTCCACAGCAGTCTGGCATTGATTGATGAAGTGCAATTGGTTGGATTTGAGTGACAGAGTTGAACGTCGACCGTCGCATGTCACCCAATAAGCGAAGAGAATTTCTAGAGCACTTTTAGATTTAAGAAGTCCTGACCATTTGAATCGTATAGTAAACCAATATCTGGACACACCCTGACGATTTCACGCAACAACAACAACAAAAACCTCAAGTACAACAGAGAATTAATATAATTAATAATATTTCTATATGTGCACATATATCCCGAACAGGTAATGATAACTGCATCGCAGTGCTCCTCCAACCCCCGGGCCATCGGCAGGCAACAGGTTGCCCGAAGACGTGCAAATTGAATAAATGGATGAATAAGGTGGAGCAACGTTTGGACGTGCAAAAGACAACGAGAGCGAAAAATCAGTGTCACAAAATGTGAATTGGATCAACATCATGTTAGGCGACAGAAAAATATTTTTGCCTCCTTAGTATGTTTAAAGTATCTTTTAGAACAAAACGCTAAGCTAAGTTTCAATAATGAAACTAAGTCAAGTGAATGTGTTGGGCGGAAGGTACCTGCTTCCACTTGTTACCTACTATCGACCATAGTTACAGATTTTATATCATATTCATATTCGTATATCCAAATTTGATTATCCAAATTATTTTTCAAACACTTTTTCGACGCACTTTTGTACTCAGAGCTCAATCTCTAAGACTTCTATATCTAGATATCGATAAATATCGATTGTGAGAATTGATTGAATTTACTTAATTTCTTGTAAGACACTCATTTAATTGAATTGGACTACGACTAGCGCCGGAGGAATTGAAGAGTTAAAATGCGTCTATTTTTATACCCTAAGCCCATTGAATATAGCTAAAATGTGTAGATTCCCTTTCAGCAAATGTAAGTAACAGACAGAAGAAAGCATCTCCGATCCCATGAATATATATGTTCTTGAGCGAAGCGATCAGTTGATGAATCTTAGAAACTTCAAAAGTAAGACATATATAATTTATATAAATTTGATTATATAAATCGATTTAGAGATTTGAAATTTAGGCATAGCTTGAAAGTTACAAGAGCTAGATACATCAAAGATAATATAAGCACATTATATACTGTTTATATTGTCTTTGGAAACATCTAATTCATTCTTATTTCCCACACATTAAGATGGCTGATATATGTCTGGAAAATTACATTTCGGAATAAACGACGACACTTTTGCTTTTCTATATCTATGTATAAAAGGAATCTAGAATGTTTCTAAAGGTCGAACGGCGGCGGGCGCAGTGTATCTCCTTATCGGATATTCCAACCTACAGCCCTCTCTCTTATGTCTGCTGCGGATTTTTGGATTATTTAGACTAATTAAGTTATTCACATGATTTGACTCAATGCGCTCGAAATATTGTTGAAAGCCACTAGAAGCCACTCCGTGTCTATCTAGTGAAATACTTGCAAGTAGCCAAGCTCCCTTTTGGAATATGCCAACAATTTCAGCTACAATTGAATATGTTTGCCGTTGGACATACTGGCTTAAGGTGCCCAAGGGAAATATGCAGTGCCTGGTAGTCGTGGTATATTTAAAGAGTTTCGCCGCATTTTTGCATGTTTTGATTTTGACAATGGAGAGCCCGTGAGTTGTCATAAAACCGCCTCGGTTTTCGATGTGTGTGTGTCGGTGAGTGTGGGTGGAAGTTGGGGGGAATTGGAGGAAGTCGGTCTGTCATAGCATTGTCTGACGTGGACGACGTTAAATGTGACGTTGGGGTTTGAAAAGCGACTGGCTGGCAAGCTAATGGGTGTGCCAAAACCTGAGTTCTCTTTAATTAGCTGCAATGTGTTTTTCGGCATTTTCCCCAGCCTCTGTCTCATTTACATTTCACACATCAACACAAGCCGTTAACAGATGTGAAAAAGGTCTCATTGGAAATTTACTAGCGATCTGTGTGCACTGACAAGCCGGGCGTTGGTCTCTGCTTTCGACACTTGTCAGTGGCGTTAGTAAGGAATCAAACTTATAAATGCCACACCCAGGCCTCAAAACGGCAATTAAATTATTTATTCATAGCATAAACTGGGCAAATGAAATAAGCCTGTGTCAGCTGCATTCACAATGTGAGCTCAACAAGTTTTATGGCTCCGGATTTTTGTTTAGAAAACATTTTTACTTTATGATATTCAACGATATGCATAATTACGAATATTGGACATTACAACGAGCTGAGTAAGACGCGCATCAAGCAAATGAAGGGTTCGAGTTCGATCTCAGTCGCAACAATTCCGAACGAAATGAAGAGAAAATTAGAAGTTGTACTTAAATGCTATATAGTTTATTTTAGGAAAGTTAAATTAACGTTATATTCTGAAATGGTATACTGCCACCAATATACCACATTTGCCGCCTCTAGTTTTTATAATCCTCGACATAAGAATCATATTTCAAAGTCGATACGAGAATAAATAGCTTGTTGAGCCCTCCCTTGATCAAGAGTATAGGATTGAGGCGTATTTCAAAAATCCGTACTAAGCCGTATAACAGGTATCTAGCGTTTTTGTATCATCTGAGAGGTTTGTATGCATACACTTTAAAAGTTAGATTACTAGTGAAAAATTATAAATAATTTATAAGACGTAACTTTTTGAAGTTCTCAGCTAAGACTAAAAGTAGAGTACTTCTATTAATTTATGTTTGATATGTTGGAAGAAGACGTAAAAGTTAAAAAAAAACTCAGGCTATACTAAGTTTTCGGAATACAGGTCGAACTGTTATATTACACTTATATAAGGTATTATTATTTTGTCATGAAATATGTAACGCATAGTTGGCGACATTCCATAAAGTGTATTTGTGCTTCTTCTAAAGCGAAATCTTCTCACATGCATCTGCAAAGGCAAAGCCGCATGTCTACAAGGGAATTTAATCTGCGGCGTGCCGTAGACAACAGTTCTTTGTTGTTTATTAATATTTGTTTATTACTAAACAAATTTAAAAACTATTCAAGACAAATAAATTATTATCATATGTTGTCGCCGCGATTGGACTTTTTCCCTGCATTCCACGCTTCCGACCCCATTCCACTGGCCATATGAGTCTATTAGGAACTATAAATACAACAAATAGCATATACAAATTATTCATACAAATATGTAGATATAGAAAAGTCGCCAGCCCAAACAGAATTCAAGCCCAATAAGAAATGCCAATGCACGTGTCTTGATCATAAATTTAAAACATGTTTCTAATGCAGTCGTCGGGCACGTGTGAGGAGCTAAGGGGACGCGGTTCGGCCACGGCGTCCAAAAAGGCAATGCAGCAATAATAAACGCATGGAAATATGCCCGAGGCGTGCGCCAAGCGATTTCACCTACCCAAGCTCCATGGTGAACATGTTGGTTGTCACTTTTTGCATAAACGCACCCAATTTTTAATGTTGCCGCCGAGGTGCTTGCCGGAGAGAGGCCTCAACGCAGCCATTGACCACATGCCACTGCGTATGCCCGAGCATGTGCGTGTGTGTGTGTGTTGTGTATGTGTGTGGGGGCAGAGTAGGGGCCTACGAATGAAAATGGAAATGGGTTCGGGCGCTCCAAGAGCCGCGCCTCAGCCGCCGGCTCAGTCTGCAGTTCGCCGAGCTGGAGTGGGAGCTCAACTCCGAAGTACTTTAGGCTCGGAGTGTTGTTTGCCTGGCTTTAATGCCTCTGTAATGACGCACAAATTGCCATTGTTTTTGCTCTTGTTGCAGAGCTGGTACCTTCAGCTCGAGTCAATCATAATCATCGTGTTGTAAAAGGTTTCTGTTGTGAATTGCCGCAGACACAAAACAACGCTGGTAAATGGTACAGAATGTTTGCTCGAGAGAGTTCATGAATGGATCGGCCGATAGACAGCGGGGAACACTTTACACCCTCTATGCATAGAGAAAGTGGGTAAAAAACTCATTTTTGGCATGCAACAGCCAGATGGAAGCACCTCCAGATCGATAAAGCATTAATTTCATATATATTCGATCAGCTAGTCAAGTCGACACAAACTATATGAGTCAGATTTCTCTGTTTTCCATTATCGATTATTTTCGATTCGTTTAGAAAAACATTTTGTATGAAGATTCTTTAATGGCATAACTTCTCCATAATCTTCAAAATAAAAGAAATTACATATATTATGTTTAGCAAGAAAACGCAAATTTGAGTTTCGAAGAAAATATATGTTCTGATTTTGCCGCTGAGTGGACAAGGATTTGATCCATTGAGTAGTAAATATATTTATTTTGACTATTTTTAATTATTACTCAATGAACTTGTTCAAAAGAAGAGAACTAAAAGGTTGCTTTTGTGTTCGAAAATGCTCTCCTTCAAAAATACCAAAAAGTCCTTTCTTACCTAATTTCAATGGGTTACGGATATAGGAACAACAAGAGGAAAGTCACTTAAATCACAGAATCAAGTACATCTGCAATTATTTTCTTTTTTCGAAATCACATTTTTCTATTTTCAATTGAATTTCACTTTCGTAGATGGCTGGAAATCAATGGGTTTGAGATCGGCATCGACTTTTCGAATAATTAGAGTCTACATCGCCGCAGCGAAGCGAACGCAAAGCGCATTATGATGCACTTAAGTTGGATAGCGAGGCGAAGACTTTCGTGCAGCACTGTTCGTCATACAAGTCACAAACTATCTGCGGAAACCGCCCGCTTCTAACGAGCGAAAGTGTTGTAAAATATTTGTCGACTTTTTATATATTGTAAGCTGAGCTTTAGTCGTATTGGCTTTGTGCTTGCCTCGCAGGTTATTGTTATTGCCGCTTTTCAGTTTCAGTTTTTCCGTTTTGTTGTTTTCCATTTCGATTTTTTAATTGCATTTTTAGCGGTTATAGACTTGGTCGTGGTACCAGGCCCGCTCTAATTTGTTGACAGCATACAGTGAAAATGTTTATACCCTAAGCTTATTGGAGATGAAGGTAAAAGGTTTTATGCAGAGCCCGTTAGGGCAAGGTACAAGAACATCCGTGCACTACGAGTCTAATAATTTAGCCCGTTTCCAAGAAACCGATAAAAATCGATATCGAAAACGGAATAGGATTTATGTGTGATGGTATTTCAATTAGTTTAGTGTTCGTATTAAGTTTGAACACAGGAGGATCTATAGAGTCGCACGTTCATGTGCATTTTGCACAAAGAGTTTAAGGGCATCTTCTAGTCGGCCATATCCAAATAAGACACTTTTTACTTGATTTGTATTAGATGGTGCGATGCGTCGCAGTTAAATTGATTGTGGAACGGCTAGAAATCTGGGGGCCAGATGTTAAGGAGTACTGCAGTGGAAATGGCATATTATTTATATATACTTATTATATATAAATATCTAATTAATTTTGTCTTTCTGCTGTAAGTTTGGGATGTCGGCCAAAGCTAGCCAATTCAAACCGAACTAATGTTGTATAATAATAAGCCTGAAAAAGTGTTTTTCATAGAAAAGCTACTTGAAAGTTAAATTCCAGCTTACCACCAGATATTCCTTCCTATCATACAAAAAACACAAATCAAATCCCTCATATCTCTAGAATCCTACAATATCATTATCGATAAGGTAGTTTTTTCAGTCAAGAATCGTATTCGCAAAAATCAACTTGGCTTTAAAAGATACAAATATTTTTTGATAGTTTACCACCCAAGAACAGGAACGGCTATCTAAGGCACATCTAAGTTGAATTACATTAAATCGCCAATGTGTGTGGAGAGTAATGAAGCTTGAAGTAAAGCGAAGTTCTATGACAGATGAATGATATAATGTTCCGATCCGACCAGCTTCGATCGGCAGTTCCCCAGCGTTCACCTTCCGCGGAAAGATTGTTGCTTCACATTTCAGATATTAGTTCCACGCCGACTTCCCGACTGTGCAAAACATAGATACTTGAAAATGAGATACGTGGACTGCATCATTCGCTCAACTTTCATCTACAAAGAGGGGAAAAAGTGAGAAAAACCCGTAATAAATGCAGCTTCACAAAAATAATTGTACATTAATTTGATGCTAATCGAATGTTTTCCACACTCCGCATAGAAATACAATAAAAATTCCACCTTCAGCTTCTACGTTTGGGGCTGCACGTTGATCATTAATCAGGCAGTCAGTCAGGACTACATTTTTATGGATCGACTTATTTGTATTCCAAATAATGCATGTTTTAATTGCAATATCACCAAAAAAAACTGCATTCGGACAAGCGGACAATGAACTTATCCAAAGTTTTAGGAACAAGCCGGACGTAGTTTCCGAAAATAAAGTTCCGTAGAGTTTTGTTGAGGCACAGAAGATGAAAAAATCTTGCGAAAAATGCATCATTTGTGCTGCTTTTCATTTATATTCCTAGCTTGCAGTCTGCAGAATTCTTCTTTCACAGATTCGCACCGACTCAAGGGAACTCAATTTCAATTTGCTAGGCGGCCCCTCGGCTCGGGAAAATTGACAGGCCAGCGCCAAGGTGGAGGCGGGCGTCAATTGGCAGTCATAAATCTTCGTAGAGTTCTTGTCTAGCGGCGACATTGTAAATTTTCATTAAGTTTTTTGAATTATTGAAATGCAATAAATCAAAATCTCGTTAACTGCGCGCGACTTTTAAATTTCACTTTAGATTAAAACTCAAAAAGAATTAAAAGGACACAGTAATCATAGGGGAACGTGTTATAACATAAGAGTTAACAAGAGTTCTTTAGTCGGGAGTGCCCGGCTATGAGATACCTTAAACCTTCTTCTACCAAACCAAATGCAAGTTGCGCTATGCGTGGCAATTGTTACCACATAGAATATTTGCATATTCGCAATATGAGCCACAAAATGGAGGCTGCAAATTGTTCTCTGGCACCAACTCGAATTTGTATTTACTGGATTTCGCAGGATTTCGCTTTAGCTTAAAGCTAAAGTTGTAAAAAAATGATTTCGATATCGATTTGTATCGATTACTGAGCAGGGTGAAGTTATCGGAATGGAAACAAGCTTGTACTGACGGACATGGAGAGATCAACTTGAGTATTGACAAGAAGGTTTCCTGTTGCATACAGAGTACAAGACCATTATACCCCTTTACCCATTTTCAATAAGTGCGGGGTATAAAAATACTCATTCAAACTGCAATTATTTTGTGTGTTGGTAAGAATAGAAAACATCGAGCACCAATGCATTTTGCGCTCTGTTTGGCATGCATCTCTCTCTCTCTCTCTCTCTCTCTCTCTCTGTCTCTCTCTCTCGCTCTCTCTCTGTCATAGATGCTTTACTTAGCAATTTCTATCTATCTTTCTCCCTCGTTTTCTCCGCTTGAGTCGCCAACTATTGCCGTCGAACGAGATAATAACCAGTAACACCCAAAGCCACCCAGTGGATGCGGTTGCATGTGGCTGGCCACTCGTGTGTGTAGCAAAAAAGCAAAAAAAAAAAAAAAAAAATACCACCAACAACAGCAGCGAAATCCCGTTGCAGCTTGTAGCTGGTTGCATGCACCCAATGATTAAAACAAATTTAATTCTTTGGAATTTTTACCAAATTGTAAAATGTAATTTTTACAGAAATTGTTCATCTCAAGATGCAGTTACAACGATCCTTTCTTAGGTTTTTGTATACCCTGCAACTGCACATAAAATTGACATAAAAGGGTATGACCAGATTATCAAAAATAGTTTAATGTAGAGACAACATATTTTTGACGAGCAATCGACACTTCACAAGAGCCACAAAAAATATTTGATTTTTTGAGTACAAAAAGCCTGTATTATACATATGTACAAGGTATCTCACAATCAGTCAATCAGACTCAATTTGTAAAATAATTTTTTAATTTCTTAACTATATATTTTCTTTGGTCTTCACGACCGACTTCATTTAACTGTAGTTTGCATGATTATTGCTCCAGTTTCCAGCGACAAGGCTGACAGCAACAAAATGAGCAACTTCTGAGACAGAGGCAAAGTTTTCATGTTGAACAATAGAAACTACAAACACTTCTGTGCACCGCACGGACAGATTGAGTTTTCTCAAAGAGTGGATAAGAGGAGAAATGTTTTTTAAATGCAATATCTTAGCAGATTCAATAAAAGGAATTTGATAATAAATTGATATACACAATTATTAAAAAACCTGACCCGACTAACGTATACCCTAGACCCAGTTTTCAGCTGTCATTATCATCATTTACAATTTGCTTATTGACTTTTGAGATCGCCAGATGGTCAGATAGAAAATATAGAATATATTGGTTAGGTCAGAAAAGCGATCGTTGACCTGTTGCATACATTTGCATAGAACCAATAAACCGGTTCGACTCAATTATAATGGACTCTGGGTATAGAATCTTGTTAATTAAATTTATTTAATATATTGCTTCCCACAAAGCGCGTAATAAAGTGAAACTTTCAAAAATGAAATGGCTCTTCGAAAAGCTAAACTAGATCTGCATTTCTACGAACGCTCAGAGATCGGGACCTGCACTTGGGTGGGTCCACAGAGCCTGCTCACCTGCTCGTTACCTGTAGTATTTATGTCATCGTTAAATTGTGCCTCCAGCTGGTTTTACTTGATTCAAAACAAGCCCAGTGCTCATTGCACCGGCTTGTTCTATGCTGCAATGCTTCCCCTTTTTATGGCACAGGTGTGGCACAAAATATTTAAACACAACATGAAAATTAAAAAGTAGTCTAATCACAGAGCACAAGCTGCTGCAGTTCGTTCGCCAGATAGCAAATCATGTACCATAGACGCACCTCACGTAGAGTAAGTTTCCAAATTGTAGCTGCTGCAAATTGGGGGCTACAAAATAAGAAGTTTGCATGAAGACCAATATATATACAAGGTCAATGTCGTGTTAAAAATATATAAAAAATTGCTTACTATATATTGCAGTGATTCTTCGTACAAAATTTTCTTTCAGCTAACCAGCAATTTGTTCAATGTATCGGCTAGAAATTATAATTTAAGCTAACATATTAGCTTAGATTCTGCTTCATCATGGATCGGATGGAGTGTACAATACCTGCATATGTTCGCATATTCTATCAGTTTAGGAATATTTAATTTAATTTTAAATACTTAATATTAAAATAAATTATTTTCAAATCATAAATTTGAGAATATATATACACCACAATTTGTCAGTAATATCTTAAGCTCCAGATCCAGCTAATGCTAATGCCAGCTGATTTCGCTAACTGGTCACAGGTGTAAATGATTAAAGATGTCGTTATCTGTAGCATAACAGTGCGTTCAGCAATCTAAGAGCTACTGAAAACTGGTTGCCTTAGTAAAATGTACTCGTAATTTGCATGGTTGAAAACTGAAAGAACGCAGGCGAAACACTTGACACATTTCCCGGGGCTAGCACTGAGACTCGGGAACAGACTATATGGGAAAATGGACTTGAATGATGACGAAGTGCAGCAGTTTCCAATAGATGACCCTATTATCGGAGGGTGCTTCCACGAGAAAAGGGCGACAGAGAATGACATCAATCATTGCACTATGAGACACTATGAGACAGCTTGGCGTTAGACAGCATTTGCCATGTGGGTCAATAAGAAATGACTTGGCAGCTTTTCTAGTAAAAGTCAAATGGTATTTTAAAGGCTTTTCACGGGGGCCGCAGCTATGACGAGCCCACATTCAACAGATCCACGTTGCGGTAGCGAATGCCAACCAAGTGACAATCGATTAAGGTCAGCAGACTGCGCTTTTCCAATGCATGTCAGTGCTGGGAATGGCAATGGGTCGCACAAGCTGGCCAAGATTCGCTTTGAGCTAGTGCCCAGACACTGGCGCCCCAGCCCTCTCCAAATGGCCGCCAAGCGTGGCTGCTCACGCTTGGGCGAATCAGTGGATCAACAGGGAGAAGCTAACACAAGTCGAGCGATTTGCATGACCGGATCAGTGGATCAATCGCTGGGTGCGTGAGCTGCATCCAAACGGAATATGGAAGAGAAAAAAACAAAACTGGAGCACTTCAATCTCTCAACCAGCGGCTGCACTTTGTGAGCAAGTTGCAGTTTTAGAAAACCAAAGGCACACTAAACCACTTGATCATTTGACCATGCAATTTGCATATTATTCAAACAAATAGAAAATAGTGCAGATTTCCATTTCTCTATACTCCAATCGGGATTATTGAGTAGACGTTGGCGCAATCTGGTTGGATTAAACGAAAATCTTGAGCAGCTCAAATATTTAATCGCAAAAAACACTGTAAATAATTTGTTTTAATACACTTTACAATCGAATCACATGCATGTTACGAATGGAATTTCCAAAATCTCCGAAATTCATTAATCTCATATGTAGGGCTTCAAAAGACACTTGAAAGCTGATCGGTCGAAAGGTTTTCCCGAAAGATCTTTTGCCCGAATTTTCCTTCGAAGAGTCCTTCATTTTGCGAAAAGCGTGAATGAGTTTTCTTCGCCCATTAACCGGCATTTACCAACTAAGAAGAGTAGATTTTGTGAAAAGTTTAAAACACGTCGTAAATTTATAATAACCATCCAAGAAGAATGTCGGTGCCCGACATATACCCTGTTTGATCACATAGCTCATTTGCATATTACTTCAAATAGTAATGTATGCTTAATTCATAAAAATAAATAACCCATATGGAATAGGTCGAAATTTCCTACCCCCACAACTCGCTCAAAACTAAAGTGAATTAATCTATCCGTACTCTTATATAGCTCTCATAGTCCCGATCGAAGTCTTCTTCAACTTGGCATTGACGAGCTCTTAAGCAAATCTTATCAAAAGCGCACTTCTAATTTATATGAATGGGAATTTGTTTCCTTTCTTAGACATCTTGACCAACCTCAGTAGCAGTCATATAGTCATATACATAGCGATACTTTCTCGATGTAATATACTTTTAAAGGGTGCAGGGTAGGTGAATGCATTGCCTATCATTAGAAATGCGTAAATTAAGACGCGACTTTCGAAGCGTGAAAAACTTAAAATATTAAGTTTTCGTATGGGTTATTTCTTTAGCCATGGGATAATAAATGGACGACTGTGACGCATTTGCAACACAGTTTATTTGGCTTAGACAGCAAGAGTTAGCTGGTTGTTGGCAGTGCTCGCAAGTTAAGTGTGCCAAGTTGGCAAGTTGCCAAGCGCGCGATCTATTAGAAGATATTGCTAAAAGCCCAGTGAGCACTTGAAGTCGCGGCCCATCTAGCCAACTACGTAGCCCCTTCCCTCACTAAGCACTGCCGTAGTTCCCAACTGGAAAAGAGTCGGCTTAATGACACTCGTCTCCAGATGCTGCTCGGTGTTAATTTGCGGTCATTAGCCAAGTTCTTTTTCACAGTTTGCACGCAGTCGGCGCAGAAGGAAGCTGCAAACAGTTGAAGGTATGAAGAGAAGCTGGGGACACTCCAGGCTCAATCAATTTGTGTCTGTTTCACGACACATGCATTATTCTTGACTCAGTGGAGGTAAAAGGCTTTCCAAAGTCTTTGTGGTCTGCTGCCTGCGCAGCAATAGGCTCACAATAGGCCTTTGTGAACGGTTAAATTGCACTTGATGCTGCCTTTTGGGCTAATGATGCGCACGCAACAGGCACAAGACACAACTGGAGAGAGGA